AAAAGAGAAGAAGATCCTCCTATCCACATGAATGCTATATAGACCATCGTCTAGATTACAACACACATCGAACAGAGAAGCTCTTCGGGGAAGACATTAACCGCATCTGTTGCATTGTTGACAGGAAACAAAAGGAATCCATGGTTTTGGTTGAGTTGCACCTTTTCATCCAAAGCATACTGGGCTAGACCGTGGATGCCTTTGCTCCCAACGGCCAACCAAGGACTGCCACGGAACAATCCACTTGGTTGGCAGCAACGAGCCAGAACAACAGCAAGAATGCTCCATCTCGTCGATCCCCCCGAAATGCACAGGCACTTTCATCCCACCCGAAGCTCGCCAAAATGGAAGGCTGGAACCGTCCTAGCGCCAAGATCCGTGGTTCGTTGACTGGGGCATTTTTCGGAAGGATGGGTCCATGCGAGGGGCTTGCTATCCCAATACACCTGGATTGGCCATTCGAGATTACTGGGATCTTGGAAAGGAGGTGCGTTGCGTGTATTTTGGAACCTTTTCTCTGAATGTGCTTTGAGAAAGAGAGTGTTTCACTCACTCGATTGTGGTGTGCTTTGTGGTGTGCTTTTCCTTGTTTTTCTGATGTCATGCTTTCATGCTCCCAGGGACAAAAAGACGACAAATACATTGTGCTGGTAGTGGACGAGTTTGGTGGAAAGGGGAATGTCTTGAATTTCAATGTAGGTGACGGTGTCAAATTTGCTCTTCCCAACGTCTTTTGGACTCGATTGCAAGCCAAGTACGGAACCGTAAGTGTCCCGCAAGCGACAAAACGCTTTGTGGTCGTCTCGATTGTTTGTCTGTTGACTGGACTTGACCTGACCCGGCTGTGCGCTTTCCAACTACCACGAGTAGACATTCTATGTCAGAGACAATGGCATTGACTTGTCCATCGTCAATGCCATTGAAGCTGTTGTTACTTGCCTCAGGTCAGAGGACGGCTTCTGCACCAGCGTCCCAGATGAAGGGCTTAGCTTGAAGAGCTTGGAATGTCTTAGATACACAGATGTGTGGTTACCGTACCGGTGGGCAAAGCGAAAAGAAATTCGCAGGCCGAAGGAAAGGCTCTGGCTGCACTACTACTGCCAGATATTATTCTAAAGATTACTTGCTAGCTAGGAAAGTAGTATAGGGGTACACGTTAGCAGCAGAGCCCTGAACAGAATCGAATGATCAATCCAATGATCTTTTGAATGGCTTCCTGCATCCATCAATCCATTGTTTTGACCCCTGCTGATTCCTGTTGTGGTGACGGCTTTTCCAATCCCACTAGTACTACCAGTTTGTCTGGGGCAATCTGTGGTGATCCCTTGCCAGCTGTTTGTGCCGCTGTGACAAGTCGTACCAATGCTTCATTGACGGGTGTTGGCACATTGGCCTTCTTTCCCAACTGTACAATTTCCCCACACAAAAAGTCCACTTCGGTTTCGGTTCGACCCCGTTCCATATCTTGCAACATGGAGCTCTTGGAACTGTCATAGTCCACTTTGGCCACAATACGAAAGACTAGCTTGAAGGCCATTTCGGGGAGCACCTTCATTAGTGGCAGTAGTTTGGGTGACAAACCACGGTAGGTCCCAATGGACATTCCCAATTTGGAGTACACAGCCAATCCCTCGGAAATGGCAGCAGCCCATACTTTGCGATATCCTGCCTTTTCCATTGTCGCTGGAGTGGAAATGCCCGCCAAGGCATTGACGGCATTGAAAAGGTTGATCAAGAGCTTGGAGTTTTGTGCTGGCAATACATCGGCTACTACCGTTGTGGGAATGACAGTGGTTGTCAATGCCGCTGCCAAAGAATCCATGCGAGCCGCATGAACTTGAACATTATTTTGTTTGGTTGTGGATTGTAGTGGCATGGATTTGGCTGTGGGACGTTGTATTTCCAAACTGCCATCACTGGTTTTGGAAAACAGGTTGGTTCCACTCTTCCAGCCAGCACTGAAACTGACCATACTGGAGAGCACCATGACATTTTTGTGGTTTTGGAGAGCCTCTCTAAGAATATCGGCATTGCGAATTCCATTTTGGAAGGAAACAATGGTGGCATTGGAATCCAGAGGCAAGACCTTGGCCAATCTTTTGGCAATGGTTTCAGTTGCTGTCGCTTTGCTGGCCACAATAATTACAGAACACTGAAATGTCACCAAATCGTCCAAATTTTCCGTCACAGCCACAAATTTGCTGTTGTCTTGTAGGAGTGGTATTCGTGTGGTGGCCAAACTGTTACAAATGTGGACGGCAAAGTTCTGAACTATCATTCCTTGTTGGGGCTGCTGTGTCTTGTCGAGCAATCTCAATTGTCCATTGTTGGTTTCCACAGCAGTCACGAGAGATTTGCGACCTACCAGAACCACTCGTTTCAGATTGGTCATTCGCGACAGAGAGAGACCGCAACAGGTGCCAATGGCACCTGCTCCAACGATTCCAATAGATTCAAACGGCATTGGTTTGGAAAGAAGGTTGTGGTTGTGTTGGGGCAGCAAATTCTTCTTCTTAGAGAGATTAGTATAGCAGCGGGCAAGGACCAATGGAACTGCCGTGAGGAGCAGCAACAGCAGAAAAGGTGGATCCTCCATGGAAAAGTTACCTCTCTGCTGCGAAGAGTTGTTATATGAAACAACGAGGATGCTTTAGTTTTTCTGTTGTTGGGGCTTGGTTGCTGGTCGCGGTACTAGCTAGTACCTTGTACCTGAAACTTGGGACTATTCAGCCCCCCCCCCCAATTTCCACCGGGTCATTAATTTCCACAGCCCCTTCACCCCTTTGTCCCCCTTCAAGTCCACCCCCAACAACCGAACATTCGCGTGGTGATCTTTCCATCACTGTTTGCTCGAACATGGTACAACTGCTATTATTGGCAGTTGCTTCACTGATTTAGATAGACTCCACCTCCAACCAAAACAAAGATTAAAATTAATTTGCTTGCTCGGGAATGTAGAACAATCCCCAACTATCAAGGCCCATGCAAATCTTGTTGCATCTTTCCGTGTGTCTTTCAATCCCTTTAATGTTTCTGTGCATGGCAAGCTTGCCCCCAGGCCAAAAATCTTTTGCAATGCCTCACCACTGCCAATGCAAACACAACTCTAGCTATATTCATACAGTAATCCCAAATGTTGTTCTATATCAAGAATGACTCTCAATTGTCCTTGTTGAATACAGCCACTCATTTATGTGGCCTCAATTCCCACAAATGCAAGCCCTTCAGCCCTTGTATTGGCCCCCAGTTTGTCACCCCTGATCTCACGGAGACCAGTCCTGAGTTCCGTAGTCTGGCCCTCTGCCAGCTTCAGTAGCTAACTTCGAGAGCACTACATACAGCCTGTTCATCTACACAGGGAGGATGCCCGCTGATAGAGAGCATGGCCGGCCATCTTTTTGGCTTGAATTCAAAAAAACATCCCGTGCCTGTGCAATTGAGCAGGCGTGATCTTGTACGTATACAGGATCGCGCCTGTTCAATTGCACAGGAAATGGACGGCCTGTTCATATGCACAGCCTCCTGGACCTCTGCGGAAACGTTATTCGTGGCAAAATACTTAGGAGACGATACACGAGGCATAGGAGACAATTGAAATGATTTAAGAGATGAAAGCAATCGTCTCCTATATTTAGAAGACGATTCAATAAGAGATATTCCAATTAGGAGACGATCGTTTCGAAATAGGAGACGATCCGAAAGATTTAGGAGACGATATCATACAGTTTACATGGTACACTTAGAAGATGATCCGTTGAGAATAGGAGACGATGTGTTGAAAATAGGAGACGATTTAAGAGGAGACGAAAGATTTAAGAGACGATCTGTTTCATCTCCAATTTTTAGGAGACGAAATCCATTAAATAGGAGACTATCAAAAGGATTTAGGAGACGATCGGTAGCCCGACTCGAGTTTCCACAAAGGTCCTGTACAAGCATACAGGATTTGATACTTCAATTTTTTAAAGTCAATTTTTTAAACTCAAAGTCCAAAGTCAAAGTTACACCATTAGGAAAATAGATCATTCAATACTTACATGTAGAGTGATACACACATGAAGACCAACTATACATTTTAAGGTCCGTGTAATACTCTGGGATTATTATGCTCCACTTCAGAAATCAGCAATCATAGAATCAAGCCAGGATCAGCGTGTACGGAAGCACATGATGTTGCCTGTTCGATAGCAGATGAAGGTTCCTGTTTGTTGGTACCAAAGCCTGTTCGTTTGCACAGGAGACGGGTGCCTGTTCAATAGTACAGGAAATGGGTCACTGGGAGGAAAAAAGAATGACAAATACCAAAGGTGCAAGCAGCTACAAATATTTCAAGAGACGGATGGATATGGTAGTAGTTGTCCTTGCTTGCTGCTGTTGCTGTTGCTAGTAGAAAAATTTGCACGTCTCCCTCTATGAGTACAAGGTCTAGCTACGGTGCCAACCTTTAGAAGGGAGTGTTCCCTGTACTTTACTGTGCTTTAGCACTCCTTATGTAAGTTTTGAATGATAGTACATTTACCTAATGGTGTAACTTGACTTAAACTATGAACTTAGAGGAAAAATTGAAGTATCAAATCCTCTATGCCTGGACAGGAGCCTGTGCATATGAACAGGCTGGGCTGTCTATTTCCTGTGCAATTGAGCAGGCTAGGCTGTCTATTTCCTGTGCAAGTGAACAGGCGACGCAATTCCTGTGCAATTGAACAGGATTCCAACGTCCTGTTCAATTGCACAGGCGCCTATTCAATTGCACAGGAATTGCGTCGCCTGCCATGCCTGGATTTAGCTGTAGGCTTGCTCTCTGAAAATCCTGTACAGATGAACAAGCTGTATGTACATGTAGTGCTGTCTACCCCCTGTCACCGGTATCAGTAGGACTTACTAGTCGCTACCGGTACGGGTTGCCAGGGAACTAGCGCTACTAGACCCCCCGTTTCACGACGAAGGCCCCAAAAGTACGCCCCCTTTCCTCAGACTAGCTAGCTAGGTGTGATGCAGTGTATAAAATATTATTGCTGTAAACGCTGCCAATCCGGTCCATATCCGGCCGGATCCGCATATGCTCTGTTTGTTTAATAAGTCAGCGGGAGCTGTGATACCTCGGCAGAAAGGTGTAAAATACTCATTAGTTTAACAAACTATGGCCACGGAGTGGCTTTTGTGACGCGGGCAAGTGGTGGGGAAGCCCCCACCTAGCTGAGTCGTCATCTACTTATTTGCCCAATCAACATGACCTCATCCACTGGC